TGAAGCCAAGGCTTTAAGGAAGACACTTTCTTAGGTATTAGAGAAAGAGACTCTTAAGTAGGCTCCATGCTCCACATGGTACCTGACTTAGGACTCGATCCCACGACCCTGGGATCATGACCTGAGCCAAAATCAAGAGCCAGACGCTCAACCAACTGAGCCACCCAGGGGCCCCAGAACAATGCAGAAATTGTTTTAAAACCACAAGATTAGTCTAAATTAAACAATATATCTTGATTTTTTTTAAGGCATAACTTTGATCCAGCGTCCATTACCTTTTATAAATTACGCTGTGTACGTGTATCTTTTTTAAAGAGAGCATACGTCTGAATTCGATTTTTGATCCAATGTGAATCTCTTTTGCTTTAATAAGAGACTTTATCCCATTTGTCATTGTCGCTCTTATAATAACTATAGTATTTCTTTTGACACCTCACGTCTCCTCTTTTTAATGCTTTCTGGCCGTTTTCTTTGTTTTATGTATTTTGCCATGTGGTCTGGGTTTTCTTGACTACCTTTATCCAAAGTGCCCCAATTTGGGTAATTTAGAAGCTAAATCTTCATTTATCCACATGGTGGATTATAATTTAGCCATCAGATGCAAGTTAGCAAATTGGAACACCAGATCTCGATGGCAGCACGGAGGAAAATTTAACACGGTAGGATGGGCCTAAGAGGACGTTCTCCATCTTTTACAACAACTGTTTTCAACTATTTGCGGAGTTGTAATGTTTTTAAGTTTATAAAATACTTTAATTAGGAGACGAATCCCACTTCCCTGACGAAATTAACCACACCCACGTCCAGTACTTGTAGCCCCAGGAGCGGAAGGCCGTCAAGGCTCTCCCGGATGGTGCAGCTTCAGTGCCCGATGCCCGCAAAGTTTCCGCAAATACCACCTGAGGTTGCCCCAAGTGCGCGTCCCTGGATGTGCTCTCATCTTCTGTCGAGTCTCAGCCCCGCCGCCCTGCCCGCAGCCACCTTCCTTCCGCTTAGCGTGTGCGGAGGGACCGGACACGCACCTGTGTGCAGAAGAGGACGGTCATGAAAGAAACGGCGAGGAGGGCCGAGACGAAGGACACGATGAACCAGGCAGCCCAGTGTTGCCAGTTGTCCACTCCCATCATGCACATGTACTCCTAGAGAAAGCAGAGGAGCCCGGCGTCCCACCACTGCCAGCGCCACGCACCCACCGCGGCCTCGCAGGTGGCCTCGCTCAGACGGTGCTGAGTGCACGAGACGGAGCAAACCGTGCATGGTCGGTGAGGCCACGCAAGGTCTGGGGAGCCTCCGGCAGGCGATTTCTATATACAGTCATAAGAAGCAATCGAAGGAGAAGAAAATTAAAGTGAGGAGGCAGAGGGTCTCTACCGAGAGCAAAAGGTGAGGAGACAGGTAACGGGAGAGCGCAGGCAGGCAGAGAGACTCTCGGGGCAGCCTGTGTTGGGTTGGGCTCCCGGCTGCAGCCACAGAGAGAGCGACTCATCCTGGGCGGACAGCCTCTCCTGTGCGCTCATCAGGGAGTCGGTCCGCAGGCATCTTCTGAACAGCCGCCGTGGGCAAGTCCAAAAGCAAGGACTCACGTGGTCACAGCAGACGGCATCGCCTACATTGTAAGCAGGTCAAATGACGAACCACCGTCCGACATCCGCCGTCCATCCCTCAGGGGGAGGTCCCTCTAACACCCATGCAGCCTCGTCCCTGCCGCGGCCTCATCCCCACCCGGGTCATTTTTCATCGGTGCTTGTACACGTCCCCGCCCCGGGAGAGGCTCGCACCCCACGCCGGGGAGGGGGAGGTTACCTTCAGTTTTTTCTCCTTCTCCAGGGCAATGGAATTGATGATGATGAGCTCGATGCAGATGAAGCTGAGCATGAGCAGAAGAGGGAACTCGTTCTGAAGGGTCACCAGGAGCCTGTCCTGGATGTGGGCTCCGTGGGGGAACCTCTTCACAAGCACACTCAGGCCCTCAAACATCTTGGTCGTCCCGTTGTGGGCGTGGTAGTGCATGATGGCCTTGTCCAGCGCATGCTGGATGGCCAGGAAGCCTTCGTTGCTGTATCCTGCGTGAGAGGACAGCGGACACCCGAGCGTAAGAGACTCGGAAGACTGGAGGTGCAGAACACCCGCTGAGTGAGGCGGGTCGTGGCTAACGATTCCTGGAGACGATCGGGTGGGAGCGGGCCGGGCTCCCTGGAGTCCACGTGCCGCCACGGGGAAGAAGGAGCAGCGTCCCCAGGGGCCCCCTGTGGCTGTGATGGTGTCTTTTATCAGAAAACAGGGCAAAGGCATCCTGAGCCCACAAAACAAGGGGTGTCCATTGCCACGCTCTTGCACGGTGGGGCCGCATCCTCTCCCCTAAGTGCTCGGGCTTCAGGGAGAGGGTGCTTGCTCTGCACTTCCGGTCACCAGGACACACGAAATGGTTAAATGCAAAGGACTTGGGAGACACGCGCCCCCTCACCTACTGGGACCTCTGTCTGAGCTGTCACTGCTGTGGTCCGAGGGTTATGGTCGTTGAATTTTGCTGCCAAGCCTCAAAGCCAAACTTTACCACCGGCAACGTTTATTTTCATACAGTGTAGTCGGTGGGCGAAGGTCAGCTTTTGGGAAAAATAGGTCGGAGGGCAGAGATCCCCGGTGTGGGGATCTCGTAAGAGTTAAAGGCCCCACCTCCCAGCAGGGGTTACCGGCCCTCCACATGGGCAGAGCCAGCGTGGGGTACCCAGCAGTAAAGGGGAGGTGACCACGGTCTCCCGATGGCCTTGACCTACACAGACCCCTGGATCTGTCAGCATGAAAAAGGGAGGAACAAATTGCTGATAATAAAATTCCGGGAACCATCACGGAGTCTTCACGGCATATCGGAGCGTTTCCTCTGCAGAACCGTTGGCATCCTTTCTAGAATCGCATGGAATGATAAGCCCTCGGGTTTACATTCCCACTCGCTGGGCTTGCGGGCCCAAAGTTCACGACAGTTGCGTGGCCATCCTCCAGGGAGGTGCACGCTGTCTGCTCGATTTCCTGAGAGCTGTCCGCTCCCTACCAGGGAGGTCTCCCCGAACCCCGCACAAAGAGGGAGACCCCAGGTCTACAGTGACGTGGAGGCCAGGCCTCCGAGCTGCCCCACGCCTTCTCCCCTGGCCTGCAGAGAGCTGAAGACCATCAGGTATATAAGCAAACGTGAGTACGTGCGGAGACAAAAAGAAGAGACCTTGTTCCCGTAAAATGCCCCCCCTCCTCCCTCAAACAGCTCAGTGTCACAGCGTTACTGCTCTTTAACTTCCTCTAGAATGAAAGCGTTTTACTCAGTGATATGTTTCTAAACGTTACTCCTTCAGCCTCTTTTGAGCTGCTAGCTTAGCAAGGGTTCAGACGGCAGTGACAGCGCAAGAGGCACGTGCCTGCGTGTGGGCGAGACCTAATCGTTGGGGCTTCCTCACCAGGGAGTCCGCCGTCCGAATGCCCTAAGGCCCGGGGCTCTTGGCTTGGGTTGGGAGGGTAGAGGAAGGATGTGCCCCAGCTGTCCACATAATCTTGTTTGGAGGTCAGCTGCGCGATTAAGGAGTTCCTCTGCGTGTAGCTGAAGCGCAGGCGGTACTTAACCTGCAGGGGATAAAGAGAGGACGACCTGGGTCACGGGGTCCCCACGCTCAGCCAGGACCCGTGTCTGCCACCAGCTGTGATTGGAGGGAAGGCCGATCCCTCCCTCCCCTGCGAGGAGCACTCAGCGGTCTGCCCAGGAGAGCCCCCTTCAGGAAGGTGGTTCCGAGCGCGGACACTGGAGCGGGGCCACCAGGACCCAAACCCCAGACCTCTCACCGAATGGCGGTGGCGGTTCAGGCGGGTGACTTGACCTTCTTGCCTCGGTTTTCTCATCCGTACAACGCGGATGAGGTTAACAGCACTTGCCCCAGAGGCACTGTAGGATCAAGTCAGATGGTCCCTGGGGTGTGCCTGGCAATTGTTAGTGCTCGGAAAGCGTTGCTGGTTGTTTATCAACGTGTCTGTCTCCAGCTGCCAACACCCCCATGCAAGTTCTAGCCATTAATCGTCAGGCGGCACAGGACGACACCAAAGCTACACACGAGCGGCTTCCCCGCCCCCGATGGGAGCCCCTGCCTTGTCCTCAGACAGACAGACCTACCATACTAGAGCCCATGTCATTAGTGTGGTGGTCTGATGACAACCACAACCAGTCCTTCTGGAAAGTGCCTCCGTCCCCGGCTCGGTTCTGGGCACAAACTCATTTGATGCCCGCAACAGCTGAGTTAGGAACTGCTAGTACTCCCACTACACCGGTGGGGAAACTGAGGCCCGGAAATGTCGGCGCCCCACCCACGGCTAGAGAGCCAGTGGTCGCCAAGCCGGAATCCAGTCTGCCATCCAGCAGCTGGAATTCATGGTCCCCTTCTCTCAGCCCGAGGTCTCCCTGGGCAGGCCTCTCTTGCGAGGAACCCGAACACTGGGAGGTGCCCCGGGGCCAGGTTGGAGGCAGTGAAACCGGGAGCATTTTCTCACCTCCTCCGGAAGAAAGGCAGCCAGGTGGCAAAGCAGACACAGGGAGACAGGGGGCAGCCCAGGTGGCGAGACTCCCTAATGGGCCCACACGCGAGCCTAGGAAGCATGGTGAGGCCGTTCCGGGACCGGATGGCCCTTACCTTCAGCGGCAGGGGTTGCTTGCTGTCATTGAAGGTGTGATCGAAGACAATTCCAGCCAACACGAAGAAGGCTTTGGGATCCTGGAGTATGTAATTTTCAAACAAAGGCACTGAAGAATGGCCTAGGACTGTGGAGAGAAAAGTCCCGTGAGCGAGCAGGCTGCCCCCCCATCCCCGCCTCCCTGAGCCGGTGCCGGAGGGGCTGCAAGACCCCCACACACACACACACCTTCCTCCATCATTCTGCGAACACATGAGCACATTCGATGGCCGGGAGCCACGCGAGGCGGTGACAAGGGTCTGAATGCCCGCCATCTCTCGTCCCAGGCCCTCCAGCTGGGCTGGCGCTGAGGGCCACAGGAGGTGGAACTCGCCCTTGGCCATGTTGATGGGGAGCTGTCCGTAGCTCGTCTGCGTGGCTACGGCAACCGAAATGGGAGACAGAATCACAGACAAACGTAGCTGTTCTGATGAGAAAAATAATTGCTCCGGTCCCCGGCCCTCGCGTGTGGCGAGGCTGTCATCTGGGATCCTCCTCGAAAGTAATTCTTGCTCAGAATGTGGAAGGCATCACCGCATCATTCCGCCTCCTCGCCGCCAGCCGGGTGTCTTCTCTGAGAGCTCATTGGCTTCTGCGCCTTTATCTCCGCGCAGAAGTCACTAGCGCACGTCCACGGTTGTCCCTTTCTGCTGTCCTCTTAGGAAGTGGTGAGACTGCGCACCTCGCAGACACAGCCGCTCTTGCGGGAACCTTTTGTGAACTGCTCTGTCCCCTCCCCTCCGTGTGTCCAGTTGCTTCCTTTTAGAAACCCTCGTGGGTGGGCGGGACGCGGTCGCTCTCGCTTCCCCTTTTCTTCATCCTGTTGCTGGACATTGTCATGCGCCTCCCAGACCTTGTCTCCCAGCCATCACGCGCGTCCACTCGGTCGTTTCCCTGGGAGCGATTTCGCTGATCTAAATTTCCAAGTCCGCTTCTGTTCCTTTGACCACATCTCCGTGCCATGGGGGTCCAGTTTTGTTTTGGCGTGGCAGCATTCCCTCAAACGTCTCTGAGACTATGGAGTTTTTTCAAATGAACCGACTCATGATAAAAATCTCCAATGATGCTGGGGGTTATGTGGCATGTCGAAAGGCTCCTCGATGAGACTGAACTTTAACTTTTCATCAGAACAAAACCCATTCTTGGCAGGCAAAACGAATCACTTGGTCCACAAGATTTGAGACTGAATCCAGTCTCCAACTGTGTGATAGAGATGGAAATCCTTTCGCTTCCTGGTTCAGCATTGCTCCCGCTCCCCCGATGTCCTCAGCCCCTTCGGTGGTAGTGGGGGGGGGGGAGGTCACTACTTTTAGCTGCAGCTAAAAGTTATTTTATTTTCATTTCTAGTTCTGTTCGGTCCTCTTCTTTTTTCAGATCGGCTGGGTAAGTCTGCATCGTGACATATCTGGGGAATAGGATTATGAGTGAATCTTCCTATTTTCCTCTATATAGTTTGTTTCCTTAGCCATATTTATGTTTCTTTTTAAACACACACATGTACATAAACATTTGGCTAAATTGAGGAAAATAGCATACATACAGGAAGATGTTAAAACAGCAGTTAAGTTCTGCGTTTATTTATTTTTGGGACAGAGAGAGACAGAGCATGAGCGAGGAGGGTAGAGAGGGAGGTACAGAATGAGGCTGGGCTCCCAGGCTCGAGCCATCAGCCCAGAGCCTGGCCAGCGGGGCTCGAACTCACAGGACCCGGCGGTCATTGACCTGAGCTGGTGGACGGCTTAACCGCCTGCGCCACCCAGGCACCCCTAAACGTTCGTTCTAATGAGCGGTTATAAAGTTCACAGTGAAGTCATCACCTCTTGGGTGAAGAAACAAAATTTGTACCCTAGATTTGTTTGTTTGTTTAGATAGTTTCTTACTATCAATTTGGTTCTTCATTGCTTTCAAGAACATAGTTTTAATATTTGTCCAGCGTATGTTTTTCAACAGGCCAACATAACCCAGTCTGCCCTGTTAGCAGAAACAAATAGCAGTAATCTCTTTCCCAGAAATTTCCGGGAAACATCCCAGTGTTTCCTTGGCTCTGGCTGAGTTAGGTGTCATCCCTGGACAAGTCACGGTAGCAAGGGGACCACGAAGTGCAGAGTGGTGTAGCCACGGGAGTCATCCTGAGCCCAAGGAGGAGGCACCAAGGGCTGACGGCAGGAGAGGGGTCCAGCCCCCCAGGGAAAGAACAGGCTGTGAGGATCGTCAAAAGGGAAAACAGATGTCTGTCACGGTTTGGAGAGCTCCTCAAACCACTGCCCTTCCTTCCAGGGTGTAGGATTTACTTAGGGGAATGGCCCCAAAGAGCAAAATCTAATTTTTATTTCTTATCCTATTATGTGATTTGAAAATGTCAATGCAAACAATTCTGATGTTCATCGTTCTTATTCTTTTATTGAAATTTTAAGGTTTATTTTTTGTGTTTTTCTTTTTTTAACGTTTAAATTCCAGAAAAATACATTCTAAACTTCTAGCAAAGAATTCTGCGAAGTGGCATTTGGGGTGAGAACTTGACTTTTCACTCTAAACCTTATATTAGTTCACGTGCAGTTATGTAATAAGGAGAGAGGGAGGGGCGGAAGGCAGACGGCCGTCTGTTCCGGGGACGCAGAGCGCGCAGAGAGAAGCGTGGCGGCCAAGCGGCCGGAGGCGGAAGCAGTGGCAGGTCCCGGAACCGCGGGACTCAGCCCCGGAGACTCTGGCAGGCGGAGGTCGGAAGCGTCCCTGGCACAGCGCGCACGCGCAGAAGAAAGCCTGGAAGGAAAGCCCTGGAACCTGCGACGCCAAGGACCGAGTATCGACAGCGATGAGGTAAGAAGTGAGTCGGAGGTAATGAAACAGAATTAACGCCTCGAGACACCCCATACGAGGAGGGAGACGGTGCCCGAGGTAGGATCTTAAGGGAAGACAGAAGAGAAATGCTTTCTTCTCCGTGGAGGCGACCGAGGGGTCCCAGGGAGTGAGGTGGGGATCCAGGCCGGATGCAAAGGCCGAATGTTTGGGGATCCGGAGGGCTGCTCACGGACAGGAGCCCAAGGCCCCAGGTTCATCTCCGTCTCCCTGCGAGACCCGGAGAGCAGCCAGAGGAAAAGACAGATCGCGCCAGACAACTTCTCTTCAAACCCCTGCCACACGGGCGGCCTCGCGCACATGGAGGGAAAACCCAAGACTTGGGGGAGGCGTGTGAGTCTCCTGCACACACTCCAGCTCGGACCCCCCCCTTCCTTCAGCCTGGTTCACGGCGGCCACACCCCACCCCAGCCCCGCCGCGGCCCCCACCTGCCCCCCCACCCCGAGTCCCGAGGCCGCCGTCATCCCACTTCGCAAGTCGTGTTCTTCACCTGCACCGCCGTATCATCTCCAGCCTCCTAAGAGGAGCTTTCTCTGTTGTGTTTTGTTTCCAATCTCGTACTAGTAGAATTAGAATGGTATTTTAGGTTGCCAGGCAAGCGCAAAGCCCCAAAACAGCGGCCCCCACGCGTGTTGCCACTGAGGGCCTTTAAAAGAACTGTCTGCGTTGAGTGGCACTCAGAGCTGGGAGAGGAGAGCCCTTGCTTTTCACTCGGTACCTTATGTATTATTAGAACACCTTTACAAAAGCATATATTACAATTATGGCAGTTTTGGAACATGACTCCACATTTTGTGGATTCCACGTTTTGAAAAACTGTATCTACCTAACTCCATTAACGAACGCATTTATTCATTCAGTAAATATGTATTGAGCAGCGAGTGTATGCCAGGCATGAAGGAGGCCCAGTGATGAAGAAAACGGACAGGGCCCTCTGCCCTCAGGGAGGTGGAGCCCAGCAGGCTTGTCAACCGCAGACTTGACACAGAAAGCCCATAGTGGCGGTGTGATGAACCGTGAATCGGAGATCTCTGACCGTAGCCAAAGGGGCGCAGAGAGAGACGAAGGCGCAGCTGAGAAATCTAAATAAAGCCCGGCTGGCAGCTTGCCCAGTGCCCCTGAAAGGAGCCTGGAGGGAGGGGTAGGGCCAGACCCTGGACTACTAGTGCAGTGGAAGCCACCAGAGGGGCAGAAGCACAAGGCTGGCCAGACCTTTCGGACCTTTGAGAGACCTTCTTGGCTGCATGCAGAGACTGGCTTAGAATTGATTAAAATGAGAAGAGAGACGGACGACTAATTCAGAATCTCCCAAGTCGCCAGAATGTGGTTGCGGCAATCAGAGACCTCGTGGGCGGCTTTCCCCCAGCTGTCACCTCCACAGACTTTTTAGGATTTGGAGACCCCAGATATGGAATCACGACTATACGCACCCTCAGGAAACAGCCTCGAACTCTATAAAATTGCCCTCCCTCCCTGTCCTTACCCCATCTTTATGTCTCACCTTCAAACTCAACGTCAAAGGATTTCCCCACCGCTTCAGTGATAGCCTTCAACGTTTCACTTTTGGAAGAGACATACACTAGTTGGTATCTGGTGTGAGTAGGAAAATAGAGGAAGTCTGGCAGTAAACCGATATTGATGGCCAGGTAGTTGACAGGAGGTATTTTCTTGGGCAAACTGTTTAAACGCAGGCACATGACGATCATGGAGAAGAGTAGCGGCATTAGGATTTCAAGCACTGTTATCAGAGTCTTCCGCTTCTAGAACAGAAAGGAAAGCAGCATGAGAACGCGAGTGTTAAGTCACCACACGGCGACGTTTCTTCCATTTAAGAAGCCCTTTCATTCTCCCCCACCCCCAGCCTCCCTGCACAACCCACAAAAAAGAAGAAAATAGAGAATGAACTAAATGGCTTCTCTTTCTGGACTTTTCCATGACATCAGCGGCGAGAAACCAGTAATGATGATGCAACCTTCAGTGATGACGGTTTGCGGAATTCCAGTGGGAACCTGGCTTATTTGTAGGAACGGGCCCCGTTTCAAGTACAGTTGTTGATTTTTTCTTTAATCAGTTATTAGATGCCAGCATGACATAAACATTCAGTCCCCCCACCCTGGACATGCCCACGGCTCCAAGGACCACCTTACCCACCTTCAGGATGAAATTCTTCCAAAGAAGAAGTTTTAAATTCCTGACCATTGTCACTTTCCCACCGGAAGGGGAGGGATCAGCACCAGCTGGGAAGCAAACGGGGCAACTGTCAGGCATCACACACACGTGCCCTCCTGTTCTTGAGCTGTCTGCTCTCGGACTTTCAGAGCATCGTTTCTTCTTTTTTGCGGGCTCCCCCTCCTCTGCCCACCTCTAAACATCCCAGCGGGGCTCGGCTGACACTCCCCCGTGGGCAATCTCACTTGGTCTTTGATGTTGAAATGCACGGACACACTGATGATTTCCACATTCCTGTCTACAGCCTGCACCTGCCGGGTCTCCTGCCCCAACCCCTCCCGTCCGAGCAGGAGCCCAGCTTCATGAGGACAAGGTTGTGTGAAGGTCTCCCTGTCTCCTCTCGTCTCCCATTTTCCCCTGCCCCGCTGCGGGCCTGGCTGTGATCCAGAAGGGACAGAAGTGGCTTCTGCTCACAGCCCACGCACCTGCCGTGGCATGCCTCCCTCATGCGTCATTAAACTACTGAACGTGCTGTTTATTTACTTCTTGTTTGATCTGATTTCCCTCTGGAATGCATGCTCCATGAAAGCAGGATTTTTTTGGGGGGGTGGGGGGGTGGGAGGGGCTGTTTTTTGTTGTTTCACTACGGAGCC